CCCTAAAATTCTCATTTTACATATTCTGTGTAGGTTTCCATTTTACACATTTTCCCTGGATGAATCCCAAATCCAAATCTAGAATGAAGACCCCTTCTTCAGCTCCAGATCATGATTTTTTTTTAAATTTAGTTTTCAATTACAGTTGACATATAGTATTAGTTTCAGGTGTACAACAGTGATTAGACATTTATATAATTTATGAGGTGATCACCGCAATAAGTCCAGGACCCATCTGACACCATGCATAGTTATTACAGTATTGTTGACTCTATTCCCTATGCTGTACATGATTTTTAATTGCCTAAGGAGTATCTTTACTTTTGCTCTTGCACTAGCCCCTCAAACTCAAAATGCCTCCCCTAAATCCCAATCCAAATCTATTCTTCTTCCTGCCTTTCCTATGTAGGAATTTCAGAAGTATTTTCTGTTTCTTTCCTTGTTGAACAAATTCAACTGATTACTATGTTCCTACGGATTCTGTATCTGAATCAACTCATAGGTATGTCCCCTCGTTCCATCCCACTGCCTTGCCATCACAGGCTTTCACAGCTATTGTGTAGCTTAACGAGCCTGCCTGATGCTGGTTCTCAGTCCTGCCGTGCTTGCATTACCAGATGGCTTTTAAAAGTGAAGATCTGAAAATGTACTCAACTGCTTACACTTTTATACAGCCTACAGGATAGGGTACAATTTCCATCATATGGCATAAAGTCCTTTAAAACTTGCCTGCAACCTACGAGCCTCTTTTTTTTTCCAGATTATAGTGTGATTTTCCCCCCAGTTTTATTGAGATATAATTGATATACTGCACTTTATGAGTTTAAGGTGTGCAGCTTAATGATTTGACTTATATATGTTGTGAAGTGATCAATTACCACACTAAATTTAGTTAACATCCATCATCTCATATAGATACAAAAAAAGGAAAAAAATGTTTATATTCTTGTGATGAGAACGCTTAGAACCTACTCTCTTCACAACTTTCCAATACACCATACAGTGGTGTTAACTGTAGTCACCATGTGGTACATTATACTCCCAGTACTCATTTCTTTTGTAACTGAGAGTTTCTACCTTTGACCGCCTTCATCCTATTCGTGTACATCCCCAGCCACTTTCTCATTATTACCCTGCACTCAGGTGCACTGTACCATTTGTTACTTCCAAACATACCAAACGCTTCGGCATGTCCATACCTTCCCTCATGCTTCCTGCCTGGAATGTCTTTTATTCCCTTTTCCATGAGGGGTCAATAGATGGGTTCCAATCCAGCCCTGCTGCTTATGAGACATGTGAGAGATGTATTTTGGAAAAGATAATTGACATTTCAGGCTTTTCCTACCTTGTATCTATTACTGCATTTTATTACTTCTCTCACAGTGACCATTCAACGGAGAGTATGAGTCTAGCATTGCTCCTGGCAATAACTACTCTTTGACCTTGAATGTTTATGCTGGAAATTGCATTTTTAAACACTGAAATGAACTCTCATTTGCTTAGGACATTTTTGTTGGCCATTTGAAAAGCCCCTCAAAAGACTAAAAATCTTGGCCTTGGCGTATTACAAGGCTCACATGAATATCAATTACCAATTTAAACAGTGATCTGTCTCTCCACGTCAGTTATAAGCCAGGTGGTGGAAGGCAGTGATTCAAACCAATTATTGCATGCTCACACCTAGACAAGTGTTATTTCAAAAACTGAAACCTGGAACTTACTTGTTGTTATTATTTTAGGTTTAAAAAAATTTTTTTTGTTCTGTTTTGTAACTATACAGATATGTACTTTTAAGATTCATTCCCTTGATACAATAGGAAACCCTACTACAGCCACTTGCATGGACAAGAATCTCAACTCTACCATTTACTAGCTGCATATTCTTGGCAAATTTTAACCCTCTGAACTTCTATTTCCTCATTCTGTAAATCTTAAGTCTATTATGGGAATTCAACATGTAAAGCAGGTGCTCCATAAATTACTGATTATTAATATACTTCCTGTCATGGATTATAACAGCACTCAATTTTCAAGCTCCCTGAAAACAAGAACTGTATGTCACGCTCAGTAAATAGTTTTTAAAATGCAGAAATATCAGTCACACAGAACTTAAAATGTCTATTTTATAATTTGTCATCATATTTTCATTGAGTTTTCTTACATGTGGCTTAATACGAGGACTAACAATTATTTAATCTTTATTTAGTGCATTTATATTGAGTAGAATCATAACTGACAATATCTTTTCCCCTTTATTTTATATTATAAAACAGAGGACCAGAATTGAGAATATTTTCCTCCATCAGACAAAATAGCAATATATCATAAAGTTAAAAGCTAAATGATACCTTTTCCAAAACATTCACTGAAATCATCCCATATTTCCCACTACTTTCAATATCAGAAAAAAAGCACTAAAGGGGAATAGAAGCCATATAGGAGTGGGGGAGGGGGAGAACCTAGAGAGGGAAGAGGTTGAAAATATTTCCTTGCCTTGGTGAACTGGAGACAGGGTGTGTGTGTGTGTGTGTCTATCTCTCTGTGACTGCATGTGTTGATTTCAACTTCTCTCAGTTCTCCTAGCCTTGAACTAAATTCCTTCTGGAGAATTGGAGAGGGACACTTTTAAATATTGGGACCAATTTAAATGTTGGGAACATTGAAACTATGACGCAAATAGGAAAATCTGAAAGGAGTTAGATTTAATGGCTAATTATGCTCCACTGAGTAAAAAAACACATTGTAACAGTAAGCCTACAATCAGGAAATACTTAGTTCCTGGAATATAGCAGACCTTCGATAATCTCTGAATTTGTAATCACTCAGGTGGCAACTAGGCTGAGATTTACCTGCAGTCATCTATGGAGAGAAAAAAAAAAGCTTTATGCTTAAGATTACTATTGAAACAGTGTGGCAGGGATAGGTTTTAACATATTTATACCATCAGTTTTAATATATTTATATAATAAGTATTGTAACAATTAATTACACTAAAATATTACCGAAAAAAGTCCTATTACTGAAAAAAAATGCTACTAGTTAATATAGGGTAAGGTCTTAACATTTATTTTTAAAATAATTTTTTTTTTATATATATATATATTTTTTTTCTTTAAATTGGGGAATTGGGGGAAAGGGAACAGACAAGTTGCTGTCGTTTTGTTCTTCATTCTAGTTGTGGAGGATGTTGCTTCACTGGCCCAAGTTGGCACCATCATTGCGCTTTTCCCAGGCAATGCACATCAGTCGCCGGCTTCTGGACGGCCGCTCACTGCGGCTGCTGGCCGCTCACGCTGGCTGCTGGCTACACACGGTAGCCCATGGCAACCCACTGCCACAGGGGCTGCAGCCTATGCCTTTGCCGCGACTCATGGCAGCCCAGCTCCAGGTTGAGCTGTTGTTCAGCATCTTAGCTGTGGAGGGCAGTGTCACTGGCCCTCACATGTGGGATCCGAACCGGGGCCCTCTGGCGTCCCAAGGCAGTTCTTAACCATCGCGCCACTCGGCCGGCCCATTTTAAAAATAATTTTGAAGTAATATTTTGAAATATATCAAACAAAAAGAGCTAAACTCTTAAACTTTAGAGTTGGGTAGTTCTTCAGAAGTTAATTAATCCGGTCCTCCTAGTACCAGATCCCATTTTAATCAGTTCTCGCTGCTCAACGAAAGGCATATACTGTCCTCTCCTCATAAACATGAAAGAAGCCTGGCCTAGGAGAATATGGACACTTAGGTCTTTCGCATTCCTGACCTTCCCCTAAATAGAAGGTCAGCTCTGTAGCTTGTACAGTGGAAACAGTGTGACTCAGAGCCAGAGCACCTGGCTGCCAGTTCACGTGTGACCATTACATGGCTGTGACCCTGAGCAGGCCAAGTACATCTGCTCTTTTCAGTGACTGAGAAAATGCCTAACTCAGCCTCCTCGGGAGGTGACTGTGAGGACGGAAGGAAACACGGTCTATGCAAGGCCTTTTGGAAAAACATACAGAAAGACGACACAAACAGGGAGCCTACAAAAATGCACAAAAAGAAAGTCAAGCCTCTATTTGCCCCCCTCCCTTCCCATGTGACCACTTCTCCAGTGACAGACAAGGTTAACAGTTTCTCAAGTTTTCTTCCTGAAGTCGTCCAATTCTATGGGTGCTTTTACTCAAACAGACCTGCAGCATAAGCACTGGGGTGCACCTGGTTGTTTCACCCACTTAGACACACACCCTAGAGCTCTATCCTCATGGGCACATACAAATATGTCTCTTTCTCTTTTCAAATCTGATTGTATTCCACAGAAAGCTTGGCCATCGTTCTTCAAGTATTCCCCATTCACGGACATTTTTGTTTCCATAGTCCTTCTCTTTTACAGACTGAGGTACTATAAATACTTCCTAAGTATGGCTAGGCTTTTGTAGCTCTGACATTTTAAATACTTAGAAGACTTGTAGCTCTACTCTTCTTTTTTATAGAATTCTGCAAAAGGCTGGCATATTTTGGACTCTAGGCAAAAATACATTTAATGTTGAATGGGTCCTTTTAATAAGATCACTTCTATTAGAACACAGCACTGCAGCAATTACCTGATGATCGGGTTAGAATTTCGTATACAAAAAATGAATAAAGCATTAAAAAGAGCAATGTCATTCAGCCTTCATTGTTTTAGAAAACAACAACAACAAACATTTGCAGAATGCTCTTGGGTTCAGTAGGCATTTTACAAATATTCCCCTTTTCAAAGTCTCTCATTTTAGTACTTAATAGCATCACAAATGTATGAAATCTTAGAACAAGAAGGGACCTTAAATTTCCTCTTGTCTACTCACCTTTCCCAAAACTGTAAATATTTTCTAAGACTCTATCTGTCAAAAGGGTGATCATAAGTTGGATCAAAGAGAAAACACATTTTACAACTAAACGTATACATAATAGGAAGTCATGCCCAAAGCAACAACAATGTTTTCAGAAATAAAACAGAGAGCCAATCACAAGGATCTGAATCGGGGACAAACCTGTAGGCATTGGTGAGCTCATAATCCAGAACCCCATTTGCTGTTATCACACCGCTCAGTGCGTCAATCTGGAATGCCTCTCCTTGGTTGCCAGAGACAATGGAATACTCGATGAGACCATTCAATCCTTTGTCCAGGTCTGTAGCAGAAACCTGTGAGGAAGCAACTCTTTCATTAGATAAGGATTTAATCTGCAACATGGGTTACGTCTGTTTTTCAGAGAAATGCATTATGGGAGAATCACATATTGCCAAGTACATTTTAAAAATGATGATCAAAACAATCAGGACACACTGCTAAGCTTACCTTTCACTTTATAGTAAAGTAGATAACAGATGAGAAAACAAGTCTGTGTACTCATTCAAAAAAATTCCAAGTAACTTTCAGTAGAAGTGGCACATGTTTTAAACTACAAGGCAAGAGGGAAAAACTACTTGAAAAAAAATCTAATTTGCTTGAATAGAAGACTTCCAGTATGGGATGTGGATTCAAACTAGTACCAGCAAAGGAAAGAAATCATATAAGAAACCTCCACGTAGTGGAGGAAAATCAGTCATTTGCTTTTTTTTACTTCCTTAAAGTATTGCCTGTAAAATAAGCCATATGTGGATTTTTTTAACATTATATTGAAAGCCTCATTTAAAAAGGAGCTTTAAATAGATAAAACAAAGTCTAGATTTAGTGCTAACAAATTTACCTCCAATCACTTATGTGATGAGTGATCAAAGTGGTGTTGACAAAAGAAAAGTTTTGTATCAGTGTCCATGAAGATATATTATTAGTCTGCATTGCATTCTGACCATAAAACTATTAGTAGAGTCAAGATCTTGTTTATGAACAAGTTGACAGATTAAATTTTTTTAAACTTATTTTTATCTTCTATGACTGTCAGCCTTGGCCCAAGCTCATGTCCCCCGTCATCTCTCTCGGGTGATTATGCTGATGTCCTAGTTGGATTTCACTTCTACTTCCCTGCCCCCTCAACCTGTCTCTCACACTGATGCCAGAACTCTTAGGGAATCCAGAGTGTCCCAAGTGGGGCAGCCAGGACCTCATCAGAAGGGCACACAGCCAGCCATTTCACACAGAAAGGCAGCAATACACAGTTCCATTGGGGATCAGGAAGAGAAACTCATCCGTTTCTGGGCAGAAGAAAGTCTACCATGTCCCTTGGGGCCATATACTTAAAAGTGTTCCAAAGTAGGCCTCCCAGGAGGTATATCAGTTAGAGTTTTAGGATACCAGCAACATGTATCCACTATGGCTAACTTCACCGGGAAGAAATGTATCAGAAAAATAGCATCCACGTGAAGTACAAGAATCGGGACAACTCTGGGGCATAGCTTCTTTGAGTTGTTGCCATCAAGATGAATCAGCTCTAACTTTTATCTGTCCAGGTGTCCCACCACTCAAGATTCAATTTCCAGGAAGAGAAAGTCTCTCTGAAACTGAGGCAAGGTGGGGCACAGATCATGATTGTGATTGACAATCCCACCTAAACTGCATCCCTTGGAGGAGGGTCAGTTCCTAAAGGAAGTTTGTGGGGTTGTAACCAAAAGGAGGGCACATGGGCAGCGTTGTGGCAAAGAGCAAGAAGTAACTACCACGAGTGATATGAGCTCCAGAGCCTTCAAAATTTCTATGTATCTCAACAGGACATATGAAAATGGTAGCTCTAGCTTCCTGGCTATGAATGATCTAAAAATGTGAGGCACAAAGTTCATTGAATCCGTCCCTGACTCTGTCATCTCAAAGTTTGACATAGCTTGAAGCAATGGATGGGTCGGGCACTCCTGTTTGGTGTACCTGGGCTTTAAAAGATGTCTTCACCTTTGTGCATCCCACACTGCACAGTCTGACCTTCTCCAGGTTAGCACGTGCCACAAAGAAGTGCAATGCAGCAGTACCCCGATGCGGGGATCCTCTGTGACAAAGTAGGCCCCACAGTGTCATCTCTACCTTTTAAGCGTCACTGGGCAGGGGTGATACCGATTGGACAAGCCAATGCCCTCACCTCCTTCTTAAACATCTCAGTCATGGCTGACAGCAGAGCGAAGGCACACCACTTCTGGAAGAGGCTGGCGACTGGAGCAACTCGGCAACTATTACACAAAATAAATCTATAAAAACAACATAGGAAATCCTGGGTATCCTGGGCTGTATGTGTGTGTGTGTGGTGGGGGACAGAGCTAAAACTCCAATACTGCTGAGACTGCTGGTTTTGTTTGCCCCAAAAGAGGGGAACGTGTGCATCAGGAACTGGGCCAGAAGTGAAAAGAAGGTGTCTATCTATTCATGTGAAGGTGGCCGTGCAATGAAGAACTGTTGGAGGTCTTATCCAGAAAGTGCATTACACACCTGACCCCACCTAGGCCAGAGAGAAAGGGGTGTCATGGTCATGAGGTGGTGGATCACAGCAGCCAGGTGATAGAAGCCAAAGGGAATGTCCCACTTCGCTGCTGACTTTGTCAGGAAAGTGGTTTAATACTGAATTTCTCCAGACTGTGGGTTTCTTACTGTTCAGGTTGTTGAGTATAAAGTATCAACTCAATGGTGAGGAGAAAGGTAAAAATGGTCACTAGTCCTGAGCAGTAGAAAGGCTGTCAAGAGTGGATGGGTTTTAGAGCCTGAACAACACTGCTGGGTGAGCAGATTCTCTTAGAAGGCCGGGAGCTTTTCCCTGAGGTGGAGCTTGGCTTGAAAACAGTGGACCTGTGCCCTTCACACAGGAAACGTCTGCAAATCTCAAACACGGGCAGCTCTCCCGCCTGTCTGTGCCTCAGTCCATGCTTATCTGGCGGCAGGTCCTCCCAGCAAATGCCTAGCTGCCCTTGAAGACCTTGTGCAAATATTCTTTTGCAAAGCCTTATGCGTTTCCCCAGGAAGAGTTTGTGTCTCCTCTTTTCTCTCATGACATTAAATGCACACCTCCATTGTAACATTAATTATATGCATGTAAATCCTATTCTTACATTTCTGAGTGCATGCACATCACTAAATCACATGCACTGATGAGTTGATTTTTGTGCCCCGACAAGTTCCCTGCCAGTGTTCAACAGGGTCCCCAGAGCAAGCAGGTAGGTATGAACTGAACACTGAATGAACAGAGGGAGAAGAGTGAACTCAGAAACTCCAGACTTCCTTAAGTCTATGGCTTTATCCATCCATCAAACATTGTACATGCACTGAAAACATTTAAATTTTAATATATGTGCTGGAAAAAAAGGCCTTAGCTATTTTGATGTACATGGATTCATAATAATTTACACACACACACACACACACACACACACACACACGTGCACAGGATGTATTTCTATTACCTGGATGATGTGGGCATTGTAGAACTGGCCCTCAGCCACTGACACTTGGTAAAAGCTTCGCTCAAAGCATGGTAAATTATCATTCACATCTAGTATCATGACAGCTACTTTGCTGTAGGCTCTATGCCCACTACTTTCGGCTAAAACGATGAGCTGTACTTCATTTCTGACTTCAAAATCAAGAAACGTGGGTTCTTTCACAGTGAGTTCTCCTATTTTTATTCCCAGGGAGAAAAAAATAAAAGAAAATAAAGTGATGCTGTAGTTATGAATTAAAAAGTCCTAAATCATCTTTGACTCCTATGCGCACATGCTCACCTGTCCTTCAAAGCCTCCCTTTGGCTGGCTCCCTTCCCTACTGAGTGGGGTTATTGTGAAAAAAGTTGAGGGCACATGCAGAAGGGAAAGAAACTATAAAATATCTCAGACCTCGGTGCTATCTCTTAAATAGCCCTTCTCTCTCCATTGGTCCATCACAATGTCTGGAAAGTCTACCTTTCAGACAAAGCTTGAATCCACCTCTCTTCATCTTCGCTTCTTCTGCCCTCCTCCAAGCCACTGGCATTTTCCACCTTCTCCCCTGCATTAGCCACTTAACTGTTCTCTCAACCAACCCCGTTCCCATTCAGAATTCCATAATAAAAAACGACGTTGTCGTTGTCCTGTGCAATACCCTTCAATGGCTTTCCCCAGCTATTATGATAATGTTCGGCACTTTTGACCTCCAGAACACCTCCCCTGCTTCAGAAGTCTCATTTGTGCCATTCTCCATTTTGCTCTCTCTGCTCTGGTCATAACATTCACTAATGTTCTGCTCCTCAACCGCTCATCTCAAAGTTGCCATGCACGCTTTTCCATCTGCCTGGCCTGGTCCCCACTTATGTGCTTCCTCAGGGACCTTTCCAGACCACCCCACCCTGTACCATCACTATGTCAGCCCCCAACAGACTCTCACAAACACGTGCATGTACTTGGTTCACCTGCTTTAGTCTAGTTACCCCTTGTGATTTAGCAGTTCTGCAAGGCGAGGATGGTTACCTGTCTTAAACCACCATATCCCAAATACCTAGCTCAAGGTCTGGCAGACAGAAGGCACCCAATAACATCTGTTACAGTCTCATATAAACAGGATAATCAGGCTAGGAAGTGACCATTGGGGGTCATGCTATGTTCAAGTTTCTCCCCTGAATTCAGAAAATTCCTCCCCGATATAGTTTCCTTCTTTAGTTTCTATTCTGCCTCTTCCTTCACGTTGCAACTAAATTTGTTACTGAATTTACTGTTATAATTATTGTTATCATCATGCTTTACTTAACGTTCATTGTCAGAAATTCCATCGAATGGAGATGTGCTGAACGAGCACTGCTTTGGAGTTTGAGAAACCTGAAACCAAGCATAGGTCCTAGACCTGACTCCTTCACTTAGGTAAATTACCTGGCTCCACCACTACTAACTTTGTGATCTGGAGGAAGTTATTCTGGTTTACAGAGCTGAGTCTCCTCTTCTGTAAAATGGGAATTATTAATAATGACTTCATAGGGTTGCTGTGAGGAGTAATATAAGTGTGTGTTTAGAATGTTTTCTTCATAGTCAGACGGTGTAGATTCCAGTGTTCTACCCATGTCTCTCTTCCCCTCCACCATCAGATATAGATTTAATACCTTTAGAAGCTCTGAATTTAGAAAGAGAACATTTAATAGCCACGGACTATTAGAAGTTTGATCTTCTGATGAAAAAACCTGTATTGTTTCTACAAATATGACCCGGAAGCCACAGCTCTTCGAACTTTCTCTGAACCTTTCCTTAGAAAACCAACCTAATCCAAAAAACTTCAGGCTCTCACATACTTATCTGGATGCCAATGGGGATCATATACTATTCTAATATTTTAATTTTGGTATTGAGTGTTTGGGGAATTTTACAGCTTCTAGTCTGTTATTTTTAAAAAATTAAATATTTATATTTTATATGATGATCTCACTATACAGTAAAACCTTGGATTTCAAGTAATGTGGTTTGCGAGTGTTCCGCAAGACGAGCACACATTTCTAATACATTTTAACATGGTAAACGAGCGATGTCTTGCAATACGAGTAGTTTGTTTCCGGAACGAATTATGCTCGCAAACAAGGTATTAGTGTACTACCAAATTTAAAATTGCGTAAAATCACTTCCATTTATTGTCATCAGATTTAGTTATCGATTCAGAACTAAAACCAAATTACTTTTCCAAACCTCATGTTACCAACACCGCTGACAGAAAATTGAGAAGAGCTCTAACTATTGGCAGTTGGAGAATCATTAGGCTGCATTTTGATGATCTGGTCAGGAAAAAAGCTGGTGTTTAGAAACCTGTGTGAAGCAAGGGTTGAGTCCGTTCCCCCAAACGGCAGAGGAGCCTCAGTGTGAGGTGGGTCCAAAGCTCTCATCTGGAGCTCTGTCTCCACCGCAGAGAGGACTCAGCTTGCTATCATGTGCTGTTACTCCGAGTAAGGGAAAACTACAATAGAAATGCAATACTAAATTTCCAGTGTCACTTAGTAGAAAGCGTGCCAATTATAGTGCAGATCAAAGTGGGTTTTTTAATAAAAGGCTTGTGTTTCGGCTTTGATAATTGGAATTTTGCACTTGGAATGGATCTGCAGTTCTAATGCTTTCCTTGCTTGGTTTTTATTTTTGGCATAATAATTGGCATATGCTGTGAAAGTTATACAAGTAGAAAAGACAATAACCAGTCTGTGAGATAATTCACGGCTGGCACACCTACTAGATCCACATTTTGCCTTGGATGATTTACGTGCATTTTTCTCAGAGACATCAAGGATTTACTGTCACTGGTGAGATGAAAGTACTCCTGGGCTCTGACTAATAGTGTGGGCAGGAGTCCATGTTTTCCTCAGAGGAAGGGCCTCACAATACCAACTTCACGTTCATTCTCATATGTTAGAGTGCCAGTTATATAATAACTTGATAATGAAACTGCAGTAATATTTTCCTTCTGATACATGTACATATATAGCTTTTGTCCAAGTTACAAAATACACATCAAAATGATATTAAGAGTCTTCAAATGCTAAATGCTTGATAACATACTCAGGTTACTTCAGTCAATTACAAATGGTGCACGTGCATATTGTATATACCCAAGGCAGAATGTGATAAATATTTATATTCTCCAAAAGCTTTTAAACTCTCTCCTGTTAAAACTACATCCTTGAAACAATGGAAGTTTGATCATTTTTGTTTTATGTCAATCAACCAAATAATGCAATGAATACTACCATCTGTTACTGACATACACAACATAAGCCAAACTCAAAAATTTTTGCTGGTTTGGACAGTGAAGAGAAGATGTTTTTAAGCTAAAGTGACAAGAAGTTTGGCTACAATAGTAAGTCTTTGGTTTGTGACTGTGGAACAGAGGGCAAACTCTAGCACAAACCAAAAACATATTTCTCACCAGAGAGCTATCTAATCATAACTTATTTAACCAATAACTAATAAAATGGTTTTCTTACATTTTTACCCTTAAGAAAAGTGACCACAACTTTAGAGATTAACTTCACTGATTTATCATACATACCAGTTTTCTATTTTAACTAGTATATGGTTTAAAATGTATATATTCACAAAAACTATATTAGGTAAATTTAGACACAAGTTTAATGATTATGTGACAAAAATGGCAAGAGAGATGAATTTAATATCATACTTAAAGACTTTAAAAATGTTTCTTGACTGCAGTATGGTAAACTATATATTGGAAAGATCCCCCTGATAAAAACGACTAAAATACTTGATAAATTGTGTGTCTGTGTATGTATTGGCATGCATTATTGAATTAGTGCAGTCGTAAGGAATCCTTAGAGGACAAAAAATAAATGAAAACAGTAATTCACGGACATAGGCAAACACCAAAAACCCATTTTTGTTCCAAGGGTTTCTAACACAATCTTCTTCGAGATTCAACTCTGATAACTAACTGCACAGGGTATGGAAAAAAAGAAAGGAAGCCTGAACCCACAAAAAAAGGGTCTAATAGGAGAACCAGAGTAAAGCTATAAACCCAAAGGCTAAATATGTTTCAAATGAGTGATCACTATTAAAACAAAAACAAATAAAAAATGGATGCACAGAAACTTGACCTTGGTGTTGCTTGGAAGGGAGAATAAAAACGTTTTCTGCTAAGAATTCATTAGCTTAAGCCTGAATTTTTGGTAGACATGCTAACATAACTATATATTTTTAAAACCCTCAATAATTAAATTTAAGTTAGTCTTTGCTTGATGATGTATATAGGCGATTTGCAAAAGGGAGAGAAAATTCTCTCTAAAGGGCACAAATTCAATCTAGGCTTCAAAGATCCTAAAGAAGGTTTAAAGGACAATGAGAAGCTCACAATTTACAATTACAACAATCACAGAGAAACAAGGAACCATGAATGAAAGCTGGCAAATCTTCAAATACTTAAGATGCTGGAATTACTGGATACAGAGTATGTAACTATTATATATCTTTACATATATCAAAAAGAAGCTTAGAAGTATGATCAAAGAACCAGAAATTACTTTTTGAGAAGACCAAAAAGAGTTGAAAAATAACCCAAGAGAACTTCTGGAAATGAAAATTATAGGAATTTCCTAGAGTGAAGAAAAAAGGGACAAAAAAAGAGAAAAACATGAAAAAGAGATATAGGAGAGAGTGATATAGCCCAATATTTGTCTAACTGGCGTTTCAAAAAAAAAGAGATATAAATAAATGGTGTTTAGATCAAAAGTTGACTTCTTAATGCAACAATTGGATGCTAGAAGACAGTAGGCTATCTTAAATATGCTGAGAAAATGTGAACTGTGAACTTAGAATTTTAAGCCCAGCAAAAATATCTTTTAAAACAAGGATTAAATAAAGATATTTTTAGATAACTAAAATCTGATAAAGTTTAATAAAATAAACTCTCACTAAAGGATGTACTTCAGGCAGAAAGAAAATGATACTAAAGAAACATGTAGCAAAAAAGCAGATAATCTCTTAAAATGTTAATACTGCCTAATTTGAAAGAACTAAAATAGTGGTAAAAAAAGCCTATATAAATTGAAAAAGATATATTTGAAGGTAAAGAATTCTAAGCCTCTTGCATTATTTAGGAGTAAGATATTAATTAATGTTAACCTTTAATTATATATGTTAAAATAGCTAGGCTAACCACTAACAGAGAAATAGCTATATAACTTCCAACAAACACAGGAAAAAATAGTCATTTTCAGGTAATGATTGTATATATTGAAAGTACAAAGATCTAAATTAATAAGAGGTTACAAGTTTGCTAGATACAAAATCAAAATATAAAAGCCGATTGAAATATGTATAAAAGCACTTCCAGAAAAAAAGCATTTTTCCATTTATTTTAGCAAGAAAAAGTATAAAGTATTTATGCTAAGTCTAACAAAAATTATACAAATAAGCACGCTTGCTATAGAAAAAAGATTAAAACTTTATTTAAATACATTGAAGAAAAAAATTGGTGTGATTTTCTATATTTTCCATGGATTAGAAGATAATACTGTAAAGATATAGGTATTCCACAAACTGATAGTTAGATTAATACAATTCAAATAAAGATTCCAATAACCTAACTGTCCATCAATGGATGAATGGATAAAGAAAATGTGGCGGGTACATGCAATGGCATATTAATCAGCCTTCACAAAGAAGAAAATCCTGTCATATGTGACAACAGGGATGAAACTTGAGGACATTCTGTTAAGTGAAATAAGCCAGTCACAGAAAGATAAATATTGCATGATTCCTCTTATACGAGTTGTATAAAATAGTCAAACCCACAGAAGCAGGGAGTAGAATGGTGGTTGCCAGAGTCTGAGAGGAGGGTGAAATGGGGAATTACTGTTCAACAGGGATAAAGTGTTAGCTCTACAAGATGAACACATTCTAGAGGTCTGCTGTACAACATTGTGCCTATTGCTAACAAGACTGTATCGTGCACTTAAACATTTGTTAAGAAGGTAGATCTTGTGTTAAATGTTCTTACCACAATGAAAAGAGAAAGAAAAAGAAATCAAAAAAAGAAAACTTTTAGTAGATTATTATTATCTATAATGTACAGTTATATAGAAAGAAAGACATTGTTGGCCTGATGACTAAGATACTTAAATTCCAGACTGGAGCTATATGATTTTTTAAATATTTTTTTTTGTTAATTTGGGTGAGGTTTCATCTTAAATTAAATGTGCATGCCATGGTTTTGTGGGTTATATGTATGAAGATGTGGACAGTTGTACATCACTCCAAAATGTATGAATAAATCTCCTTTCCTTGGAAAAAAAAATCCCAATAGACATGTATGTGTCCGTACATGTCTCTCTCTTTCTCTGTGTGTGTGTAAAACTTGACAAGTGAAATCAATGATTTATGTTAGAACAGAGGGCCAATAACAGCTAATATAATCATGAAGAAGAATATAAAAATTGAGTAAACTATTGGGAGGGGAAGCTTCCCTGATATTAAGACTTATTATAAAGCCAATATAAGTAAGAGAGTGTGAGAGTGTGGTATTGGTGTGTGGATAGAGAAAGAAATAAATGGAAAAGAGTGACAGTCCAGTAAAAAGTCATGGAAACATGACATAAGACAATGGTGGTACTGCAGATCACAGGGGAAGATTATCGCCATTAGAATAACTGGCAAGCTCATTGAAAAAAAAAAAAGCAAATGAAAGGAAAGCAAAGAAAAGGAAAAAAATGTTACCTCTGACTCATGTAAAACACAAAAATCAATTCTAGATGCCCTCAAGGTATTAATGCAAAACACAGGAAAACTATAAAATTTTAAAAGACAATGTAAGAATACCTTCACAATCTTAGGGTAGGGATGAATTTCTTAAACAGCTTACAAAAAAGGGCAAATCATAAAATAAATGACTAATTAATTCTAACTTATCTAAATCAAAACATGCCATTAAGAGAGTCACAAACTGTAAACGAACATTTGTAACAAAAGCAAGGGATAAATACCAATAAAACATATTAAAAATACTTATACTTCAGAAAGAATAACACAAATATCCCAGTAGGCAAAGATTATCAATATACATTTTACATAGGAGGAAACAAAAATGGCCAATAAAGTATAAAAAAATCCTCAAATTCATTAGTAATAAGGGAAAAGCAAATTACAACCACAGTGAGATACCGTTTCACACCCACCAGATTGACAATACAGAGCACACCATCAACAACTGTGATAGCTGTCATTCAGTGCTGGTGGAATGAATGTAAAGTGGGACAAACCACGTCATAAAACAATCTGGCTCTGTCTGTAAGCTGAGCAATGCATCTTCTGATGTACATGCTCTAGAGCCTACAGAACTCCTGAGCTGGTACCAGGAGACACGCATGAGATTGTTCCTAACAGCACCTTTCATTACATCCCCAGGAAGGACAACCTCACTGTCCATCAACAATAAAATAGATAAGTAAGTTGTGATACAGACTTACAACAGAATACCATACAGAAATGCAAATGAAAGAAACCTAGCTACACACATGAATGTGAATGATTCTAACTTTGAGTAAAATAATCGAATCCATAGACTACATAATGTATGACTCCATTTATATAAAATTCAAAAATAAGCAAAATTAAACAGTTTCATTGCCTAGGAATGCAATAATTATAAGTCACAAGGGAAGTATTATTCCCGAAGCCAGGACATGGGTAAGCCTAGAGCAGTGGAGAGAAAGGGTGCAATTAGAGAAGGGCACGAAGGGAGTATCAATGACAATGGTCATGTCCTATTTTATAACCTTACAGCGGGTACATGTCAGTTTTTGCTATTCCTCTTAAATGTGTACATCAGGGCTTTTGCACTATAAATCACAGTAAACATGTTGAGCAAAGGAATCAAATCACAGAAGAGTACATGCAGCACAGTTCTAGTATGATGTTTAAATCAAGGTAAGCTAAATAACATGTTGTTTATGGATTCAAACCCAGTGGGAAAATTATAATGCAAAAAAGGCAGTGATCAATACCAAATTCAGATTACTGATTACCTCTGGGGTAAAAGAAGAGAGATGTGAGAGCGAAAGGACACACAAGGTATTTATTCCCCTGAAGTTCTAGTACAAATGTCCCATCTCTAGAGATGGGTGGCAAGTGCATGGGGTTTTATTATACTATTGTTCATTACACAGTTTTATATGTTTTAATACATCATCTTGTAGCTATTGCACAATGAAATTCAGAAATAAATGTCAACATACATAAACAACTACTTAATTGAAAAATAGTTTTCTGTGGATGACCTCTTTGGACTAACGGTAGGAATATTATATCTGCATTTTTATAAGATACTCTAGAAAAACTAAGGCCAAGCCTGGGCCATGTCAGGAATGAAGTGGCAGAAAGATTTGGGTAGCCTGGAAAAATATGCAAACTCTGCTCTCCTTTCTAAGGTTCTAATCTTGGCTCTTTTCCCAGAATCCTTAGGCACCTGGACTACTGGAAACAATGGCCCTCTTGCCAACAGTACCACTTGATTACAGTACCACCCTGTAATGAAATAATGGGGCAAAGGTATGAAAACTTCTAGCAGATTGCCTCAGAAAGCTCCTGACCAAAGGCTGTGTGGATCAAACAGTCATTAACACCACCCTGGACAGGAAGGGATTTACTTAAAAAATTATCCCCTCTCAATTCTGCCCATGTGCGTGTAGCACAGATTAAAGAAGGCAGTTCTATGGTAATATAGAAATTATTTAAAACATTCTTCTTGAGGTTTGACAACAAGGCAGTAGATATGTATCTACTACATAGTTGTTAGTCAAAAAAGTATGTTTCAAATAATCAATTGGTATTCATTTAAAACACAATAATGGCCTCATTGAAGCTAAATTTAACACATGCTGTATTTGGAAGTAATTTCTTTACCACCATATAGAAACCTTTCCAGCTGCCCCTTTTGTTGCATTGTTGACATTCAGTGGCAAACTGGAAGAATCTGATGAAAATTCCCTAAGGCTAGACATGTGTGCTTATTTTCAATTCAAACTCAGTATTAATGATCTTCCTATTGTATCACCCATTCTCCCAAATTGATAGGTAAGTTATAAGTAGAAACCAATTTATCTTAAAAAATGTAAGGAGTAGGATAGGAACTGTCTAATTTGGAAATGTGCAGAATAGAATTCTTAGCAAGTACATGTAAATAAATAGCTTTTGATTTCCCACAATTTCTCATCAGCTACCATAAAAACTTTCTTGTTTACCTTTTAAATTATTTACCTATAACAATCTCTACCTTTCAAATTTTGAGTTTCTTTTGGAGACGTATTTATTACAAGTAACATTAGAAGAAGCAGGAAATAAAGTTATTGTAAGGAAGAGAAGATTTACCTGAGTCAGAGCACAGAGAAAAAACTCCATCTTCATTTCCACTAAAAATTGAATATTTAATGTTCTCTCGAACTGAGTCAGGAGCAAAAGCTTTTATAGTTACAATAGGAGTACCTGTAAAAATTAAGTAAAAAAAAAAAAAGAACTTTAGGATAAGAAAATTTCAGGGAAAAACAAAAGCAAACACTGGGTATTTATTATTTGTCTACTACATTTTCATTTGTTCATTCATTCAATGATTATGTAGTGAGTGTCTTCAATAAGCTAGATCCTATGCTAACTACTGGAAATACGTAATGACAAACCAGATAGAAAAGACTTCTGTCCTCATGGCAGTTATTAACTGATGGAAGGAGACACAATAAACCATTCAACAAATACATAATCGAGGCAGGTTTCAGGCGTGCTAAGTTCTTTGGAAAGAAATAAACAAGGTTATGTGACAGAATATTGCAAGGGAGGTGGACACTCCTTTGGAAAGGCCTCAGAGGACTCCAGTTGAACCTTGAAGCATGTGAGGACATAGAAAAAGCTGGACGAAAAGGATTCTAGGAGGACAATAGCAATTGCAAAGGCTCTGGGCTAGGAGAGGGCTTCGTTTGTTGAACAGTGAGTAGGGGCAAAGGTGGGAGGAGAGGAGGCATCTAGGTGGGAGCCGAGGTCATATCTTATTCTAATTTTAATGGGAAGTCATGGAAGCATTTTAAGTAATGGGGTAAAATAATCCGCAATTACTTTTAAAAGATATCATTCTGACTGCTGTGTGAAAAACAAAGAGAGGTAAGAATGGATCAGAGAGACCAATTAAGCTAATACTGCGAGAGACAATTTGGATAATATTCTAGCACTTAGATGGTGCTACTTGTTTGGTACCCATGGACTTGTATGGAGCACACATAAAGAGATTGATCTCGTATTTTGAAAAAGTTGGACTAAATTCTGTGAGAGCAGAGGAGGTTTTCTATATATTTGTACTGTATATATGTTTCTATAATTTTAGGTTAGTTTTGCCTTTAAAATTGCATACACTTGCAAATCATACAATAGTTGTTTCCTTTTGCTTAGCATACTTTTTTTTTGAGAAGCAAACATGTTGTGCTGAGTATCAAAAGCTTATTCCTTATACACAGAATGTGCTTAATAAGTATGGGAAAAAGGGTAGTAACAGAGAAGACAGAGAGAGGAAGTAAGGGAAGTGGTCACTCAAGTGTCCTAGCCTGAGATAGTTAAAAAATGCTTCTCTGCCTACAAGGCCCTTTTAAATCAGCAGCAATTATTTTTTTAAAAGAATCACTCAAGGGCCGGCCGAGTGCCGCGTTGGTTAAGAACTGGCTTGGGACGCCAGAGGACCCCGGTTCGGATCCCACATATGAGGGCCAGTGACACTGCCCTTTACAGCTAAGATGCTGAACAACAGCTCAACCTGGAGCTGGGCTGCTGTCAGTCACCGGCTGCAGCCCCTGCTGCAGTGGGTTGCCATGGGCTACCATGTGTAGCCAGAAGCCAGCGTGAGTAGGCAGCAGCTGCCGTGAGCGGCTGTTCAGAAACCGGCGACTGATCTACCTCGCCTGGGAAGAGTGCAATGATGGTGCCAACTTGGGCCAGTTGAAGCAACGTCCTCCACAACTAGACTGAAGAACAAAACGACAGCAACTTGTCTGTTCCCCTTCCCCAATTCCCCAGCGCTGTTCCCATCCCCCAATTCCCCAATTAAAAATATAATGTCATATCACTGTTGGATTTGAAGTAGTTGAAAAAAACAGCACCTATTTAAGATCTCTGCTGGAGCTCCTCCATAAGTCCCACACGAAGGCCCCAGGGAACAAGCTTGAAACCTGTACTGCTAGAGGTTCTATTTGAAATTATCACCAAGCCAAGTTGCTGTATCTTTTTTCTAGATGCTTAAAAGTGTTTCAGTAAAAAAGAAGAGAAGAAAGTAAAAGGCCTAGAACAGACAATATTTTCCCCAGGAGCCTTTTCAACACTTAACATGCAAAGAAAAATGCTATGAGTGCTATAAATATTAATAGAACAAGTATGTGATATTGTCTGCAAAAACTGAAAATTCAGTGGAAAAGGCATAAAACAGAATTTGTTATAGAGAAAGAACAGGAAAACCAAAAACTGGATATATTATTCTCTTTAAAAAAGCACTATGTTTAACATAAACTGTGATAAAGTTTAAAAACCATTTATTGGGTTTCCAAATTGTTGCTGTTTTTAATGCAGTTATGAAATCATTTAGTGACAAAGTAAAGGATTTTAATCAATCATGGTGGAATCAAGTTACCACACATGTTGAGAACTCTTTCAAATTGCTTTATAATCGGATGTTTATTTTGTTACATTTCAGGAGACATATTGTTAATATAAAAATGTTTTACATTTTTGGTAGGAATATGCCTTCACAGTAGGGCAGTATGTTTTATCTTCAGTGCTCAATCACAGCTCTGTGCTTCCTGATACAACTTGTTTTTTAAACACAAGAAGTTTTATTTCAAATGGCTTGTCAGATATTCTTAAGACTGGCTGTAAGAAGAAAAACAGCTATGCAGGCAAGATGTACAGTCTTGCTGATGGCTTTTTCTTCATGGGTTAGGATGCTTATTATATGCACATTTACAAAAGAAAACATGGAGATCACTTGCATATAAAAGAACAAAGATGAGAACAGAATTGCATATAAGAATCACATACAGCCTCTCTCGTAAAAGGAACAATCCTATTTTTATAGCAAATAAAATGTTCATAATATGAATGAAATTGTAGCACAAAAAGAATTTCATTCAATGAAAATACTTCAAATTAGATTCTAGAGTCAGCAAATGGCTGCATATCATTATATATGTTTATCCTTTGACAAAGTTTATATTTGCGACTGCCTGAAAAAAATAGGAAATAACTGAAGGGCCTTGAGTCCTTCTAGGTCTTGTCTTACTGTGCACATTTTAAATAAAAGTCTGTCTTTGGGCATATAGATAAAACTTACAATTACTTCTCATTTCACATCAAGGTAGAAATGGTAAAATATAAAAAATAACACTGTACCTTCAATTCCTATGAGGTAAGTGAAATATGTAGAAGAAATTATTTTTTTATTTTACATTTTCAAGCTTTTATGAATTTCACTTTAGGTCTAACATTGTATCAAAAAAGTATAAAACATGTAATGTTCATTTTTTTTTCTTCTTTATAAAAACATAGTTTAAAACTTAACAACACCTACAGAAGCAGTAAACTATCTGTTTAAAAACAGAATTATATAACTATTAATGCTAATGACTATAAAAATCAATAATCATGGAAACATTTAGATAAAATAATTATGAAAACATTTTATTCAGAGCTGTCCATAAGTAAATAATTCTAGAGCTTTATTTTGATTATTTCTAAGCAATGTAAATATTTCTTAAATTGATGATTGACTTGGGAGAAACAAATTTTTCAAGCACTTGGATGATTTTGAATTATCTATTATCTTTTAAATGTCCAGCCACTGAATACTGAATATTTTTCAATCTTTTAAGAAGAAAAGTTAGGAGTAATATTCAGCAAGATGGATGATTAGAAAGCCCTAGATCTTCTCTCCCATAGAAACACTGATTTAACAACAATATATGATCTAAAATCCTTTATGAAGACTCCAGGTCAAAAGGGAGTGGTATGATGTATTTAAAGTGCTGAACGTGGGCCGGCCGAGTGGCGCGATGGTTAAGAACTGGCTCGGGACACCAGAGGGCCTCGGTTCAGATCCCACATACGAGGGCCAGTGATGCTGCCCTCTACAGCTAAGATGCTGAACAACAGCTCAACCTGGAGCTGGGCTCCTGTGAGTCGCCAGCGACCGCAGGTGGGTTGCCATGGGCTACCATGTGTAGCCAGCAGCCAGCGTGAGTGGCCAGCAGCCAGCGTGAGCACCAGCAGCTGCAGTGAGTGGCCGTCCAGAAGCCAGCGACTGATCTGCCTCACCCGGGAAGAGCTCAATGATGGTGCCAACTTGGGCCAGTGAAGCAATGTCCTCCACAACTAGACTGAAGAACAAAAGAACAGCAACTTGTCTGTTCCCCTCCCCTCAATTTCCCAGCACTGTTCCCATCCCCCCAATTCCCCAAAAAAAATCTTAAAAAAAAAAAAAAGAATACTATATCCAACAAAACTGCCCTTCAAACATTCAGGAGAAATAAAGACTTTCCCAGAGGACTTGATCAACATTATAGGCTAATTGGTCCTAATAGTTATATATAGAAAATTCCACCCAAGAGCAGAATACACATTCTCAAGTTATTATGTATTCCCAAGTGTATCCTTAAGAACACATACTGGTGAGGAAGTGGAGAAAAGGGAACCCTTGTGCACTGTTGGTAGGACTGTAAATTGGTGCACCCACTATGGAAAATAGTATGGAGGTTCCACAAAAAATTAAAAATAGAACTACCCAGCAATCCCACTTCTGGGTATTTACCTGAAGAAATCGGAAACACTAATTTGAAAAGATATATGCACCCTTATGCTCACTGCAGCATTATTTACAATAACCAAGATATGGGAAGCCCATCAATAGATGATTGGATAAAGAAGATGTGGCACATATATACAGTGGAATATTGCTCAGCCATTAAAAAAAAAATCTTACCATTTGTAAAAACATGGATGGACCAAAGGGGTATTATGCAAGTAAAATATATCAGACTGAGAAAGACAAATGCCATATGATCTCACTTATATGTGGAATCTAAAGAACAAAATAAACAAAAAACCAAAAACAGAAACAGACTTATAGATACAGAGAACAAACTGATGGTTGCCAGATGGGAGGGAGGTTGGAGGGCTGTGTGAAAAAAGTGAAGGGATTAAGAAGGACAAATTGGTAGTTACAAAATAGTCACAGGAATGTAAAGTACAGCATAGGGAATATAGTCAATAATACTGTAATAACTATGTATAGTGCCAGGTGGGTACTAGACTAATTTGGGGGATCACTTCATAAATTATATAAATGTCTAACCACTACGCTGTGCACCTGAAACTAATATAAAATAATATTGAATGTCAACAGTAATTGAAAAAATTCAAAACAAAGAACACATGGAATATTCTCCAGGATAAATCACAGA